CTTCTCCCACGAGCGTCGGGCAAAAGAATTCACCCTCTGGAGTGGTTGGTCCTCCAGTATTCTCCCCTAGCCCCTCTTGGCTAGCCCTCACTTGACCGAATCTTCAATTATGCTTGGTGTAGTCGATGCAGTTGTAGTAACCATAGTAGCGAAAGTAGATGTCTAAACCAAAGATGTTAGTGAGCCCCTCGAGCTGAAGTGGTCGACAAAGATGAAGTAGTCTTTGGTGCCGAAGGAGTTGATGTACCCTCTCGACCTCAGCGGCGAAGGAAAGTTGTCACAGACGTTCATGCCGAAGGTGTCGACGAAGGCTCTCAAGCCATTGTCATGGGCGAAGATTATGGCGAAGCCCCTCTTGCCGAAGTATTGGTAGAGGTGAGTCATAGCGATTCGCCGAAGATGTTGGCAAAGAACCTCCTACTGAAGTGTTAGTAGAGGTGTGTCATTGTGGTTCACCGAAGATGTTGTCGATGAGCCAACGACCCTCCTACGAAGGTGTTTGGTGTAGGTGATGTTAGTGTGAATGCTGAAGGTGTCAACGAAGCCCCTCAAGTCGATGTGTCGACGAAGGTGAGTCATTTCAATTTGCCAAAGGTATTGGCGACAACCCTCCTGCAAAGGTGCGAGGCGCGACGCGTCGCCTGCCCTTGCCCTCGTGACTCATGAGCGGCGAGTACGAGCTGCTACCGCATCGGCGCTCCGCTTACGAACACTGGTCACACCGCTCCACGTGCCCCTGCTGTCGTTTCATCGCCGCCGTCCACCCGTGGCGCTCGTCCTAGGCTCCCAGTGACGCAGTTCGCTCCGCGCGAAGCCGTCCACCCATCCAAGCGTCTGACTCGCTGAGTCGCTGGCCGGTGGCCGCTCGGCGCCCACTGTTTGGCTGCCTGGCGCCCCTTGCCGATTGTCCCCATCCCTAGCAGAGTGTCGATGAGTGTTTATTCAATTATTCTCAAGTTCGAGTTCGTCCTCAATGAAATTATTATGAACTGCAATTTCATTACTACGATGATGATCTGAGGGACCTTAGCCAAACTATATCCTGATGATTTCACCAATGATGATCTGAGGGACGTTAGCCATGACCTTCGCCTACATTGCTGATGTGCGAGCAGATAATAGATTCTCCAACATAAGCACTATCGGTGAGCTCTCTCAAAAAAATGGTAGAGTCAGAGAAATATAGTTTGTATAGATTGGTCTATCGACTTTCGAAGGTTGTGCTAGTATTGCCTGTCGCTACAGCAACAGTTGAGAGATGTTTTTCGAGCATAAAGATTGTAAAAACAAGTTTGTCTAATCACAAGGGTGATCATGAGTCATAGACTTATTTGCTATATAGAGAAAGAAGAAATAAATACAGTGAGCAATGAGGCTATTGTTCGTCGTTTCATGACCATGGAAGGAAAATGGCGTAAATATGATCTCTAAGAGTAATACAAATGCAATGCATCTACTTTTAATGGACAATTCTATATTTTCTTTGCTAAATAATTGACCTATTTATTCTCTTTTCTTTAGGCTAGATCACATATTTTGTTATATGGGACATCTTTTGTTCATCGTTTTGGCATTCTTTCAATCACTACAATACAGTGATCAATATTATCTTTATTTTGTTATAAATGGTGAGTGTTATTGCCCTTGAACCTATCAGTTTACTTATGTTTTGACCAAAATCACATTGCCATTATTGCAAGTTGAATTTTGATGTTAAAAATTGTGAGTTAGTCATGCTATTTGTTTGAACATCACAAGGGTCACTATATTCGTGGTGAAGTTGTGCACCCCCACCCATTTGCTCTAGCTTCGCCACTGACCACAAGCACATGAGTTACCATTTTCAAAATATTTTCAAAGAATTTTCACTTGCTTTCTCACCATGTCACTAGGTCTAATGCACATGCACAGTTAATATTCACCTAGTGGCACTAAATAACAATAATCGCTTTAGAGCGAGTTTTCGTCTTAATAGTATGACTATCTATCCTAAACTCGACCATCACTTTAGCCCTACTGATATACCTTTGCCTTCATGCTTGCTTCTAGCTCCATCTTCTTCTCCATTGTTGAGCACTTGCATCTTGTGGTGAGCATCATCTCCACCATATTCTAGCCTTGATCGACTCCTTCATGTAGGACTAGCGCAATCATCTCCATTGGAAACATTAGTCCACTAGTTGTCACTCAATTACCAAAACCAAACTTGGGCTTTCAATCTTCCCTTTTTGGTAATTGATGACAACCTTAACAAAGATATGGAATTAATTGAAATTCCAAGCTGGCACTTCACACAAGTGTAGATTTCTAACTTGGTTTGGACTTTGTCACTTATTATCCAAGCAATAAGATCACTTGAAAAGAATTGGATAAGCTTCACAAAATCCTACCTAGTAGTGTTAACTCCCCCTACATATGTGCTAAAATGGTTTGGTTTTAAGTTTGCACATATGCTAGATTGAAGTTGTGGGAGAATTAACACTACTAAATGATTCTAAGGTATTTGTGATAGAAATGTACCTTTATAGCATGAATATCACTTGAAAAGTCCATCCTTAGTACCATGTTAGGTAGACATACTAAAACACTAGATACCATGTGAGATCAACATTAAAAGCATGACTCTAGTTAATACTTAAAATAACAACTATAAGCTCTAGAAACCACTTGTAAGCATATCTAACTGGGTACTACTAGAGACAAGTCATCGATCAATCTTATGTCTAGCAATCAATTCACAACAAGCATATTATTTGAATTAAAAAACAATGCATATGCAAGCACACATATGATTCAAATGCAACAAATTAAATACAAAGGTTCATGAGCTTAATCCCCCTACTTGTGTGCTTATTCAAAATTTTGATCCCCTTCAATTCTCCTATCTTGTTCTTCATGATATCTTTGTGTCGAAATTGTCCCTCTTTGTCCTCAATTTCCACACAGAAGATGACACAACTTGAGATAGATGCTTGAAATCTTGGTGTAGACACCACACTTTGATGGACATGATCACTTAAGGTTGAGGATCATTGGATCAATGGATATTGATTGTTTCCATGAGCTTCCTTCTCATTGGCTTGAACTAATTGATTGGCATAAGCTTCAAAATTGGTTAAACCCTCTTCAAGCTTCTTCACACGTCCATGGACGGTTATCTTGTTGAGGTTGAATTTGTCACTTCTAGCTCACCAACTTGATTCAAACACTTGGGTTCACATGCTCATTAACAAGTCATATGCTACCACACTAGTATCATACAAACATAGAAGCAATTGTTGTAGAACATGAACTCAAAACATGTGATTTGCAATGTATGTCCTTAATGTCACAAATATGTTCTCTATGCACTAACCACATCTAGTAAGGTATATATGCTCATGCGCAACCAATTTAGCTTTGCTTTGTTCGGAGGAGGGGTTAATCATATATATGTTGTTCTTCAAGCCATGTTGGAGAAGCCAAGAATGTTTAACTCATTTCTTAGCTTACAAAATCTTGCTTCATCAAGTGGCTTGGTGAATTATATCCACTAGTTGATCATCAGTGCCCATCTCAATCTTGATATCCCTCTTTGTTTGGTGATTTCTTAAGAAGTGATGGTGGCGAATATTAATGTTCTTGGTTCTAGAATGTTGAACTGGGTTGATGGCTATCTTGATGGCACTCTCATTATCACATAGCAATGGCAATTGATCAAATTTGATTCCAGACTGACAAAGTTACTCCCATCCATACCAATTATGCACAAGAACTACCCGCAGATATATACTCCACCTTGGCCGTTGATAATGCAACTGAATTTTTCTTCTTTGAGGACCATAACACAAATGATCTTCCAAGTAATTGACATATGTCTAAATCGCAAAAAAAAGTAATCTGAAATGCTCTTCCTATCAATCTTTACCCTGCATAGTCCGAATCGGAGTAACCAAGTAGCTCAAATTGTGCTCCTCTAAGGTACCAGAAGCCAACATTGGCCGGTATATGCTTCAAATACCTCAAAATCCCCTTAACCGTGGTCAAGTGACATTTCTTAGGTGAGGCTTGAAACCTTGCATACATGCATACACTAAACATAATATCTGGTCCTAATGTGATCAAATGGAGATTAGATCTAGTCCTAATTGGTTTATTATCCCCTCGTGATCCGAACTCAACAACCCATGCTCTTAGAATAGCGCATGTCCCACAATACGGACAGATAACACAAGATGTAAATTTCGTTGCAACTGCGGACATGTTTGCCCCAGGTTGACCATTCTAGATTACTCTTGCACGATCTGCGTGGCATGCAATATATATGTCCTCAGGTCGTTGATGTCACAAAACACAGAGCTGATCAGACATGAGCAAATTACAGCTTCCTCGCTGCAAAAGGCAGCAGCTAGCCGCTGAGCCTGAGGCAGGCAGCAAGGCCAAGGGAACCATTTATGCATGCACCGCGCGAGCGCAACAGATGGAGGAGAGGAATGGTCTGGAAGAGGCCGAGGGGGATCGTCCCTGCATCACTATCGATCGACCTGTCGTGTGCAGGCAGCTAGGCCAGCCACAGGAGCCAGGTCTCTCCGAGTCCCCGGCCAGGACACGAGTGAGTCGAGCGACGACGGCCTGAGGACTGAGGCTGAGGGGAGCAACAGCTACAGCAACCAACTCCTTCCTTTGGGCGTCACGGGAGTTCGATTTCCGGCGGAGAAAAAGCTCCCGCCTTTTCTACTTTCCCCAACGCTCCCCCTTATCTCCTCCCTCCTGGACTCCGCGCAACCAACCACGCGCCACCTTGCTCTCCCTCTATCTCAGCTAGAGCTCGAGGCATCAGAGAGCTTGCTTGCATGCGCGTCGTCCGGCGGCGTTCGTCCTTGTTGGGTCGTCTTGTGCTGTTTCTCGTCGGAGAGAAGAGGGAGTAGAAGGGAGCTAGGAGCGATCGGCTGGCCCGGAGAGTAGGAGCTGCCATAGCCGCCGGGGATCGGATCGGAGGTGGTCTGTATATATACATGCGCATGGAAGGAGGCGGAGGAGGCGGAGGAGGCGGAGGCGGCGCCGGCGTCGGAGGGTGCCTGGGTCTGGGCCACGGCGGGGAGGCGCAGATCAAGGGCACGCACACGCACGGCGGCCGCTACGTGCAGTACAACGTGTACGGCAACCTCCTCGAGGTCTCCGCCAAGTACGTCCCGCCCATCCGCCCCGTCGGCCGCGGCGCCTGCGGCATCATCTGGTGCGTACCTTCCTCCTCCTCGATCGCGTTCGTTCGCGCTCGCTTCTCTCCGGCACCCTTTTTTTCGTCAGAAACTTTGCATGGAATCCTTCTTGCCTTGTTGGTCAAGGCTTTGCAATAGACCCCACCACCACCCGGGTACGGTGGCAGTGCATCGCCTATGCAAGACGCAAAGGCCGGCCGGGCTTCGATCCCCCGTCTAAGAAAAAATTCTGGCATCTATTAGGTGGTGTATGTACATCGCCATGGCCTAAGAATACAAGTCTGAATGTTTTACCTTCACATCCAGACTGCTGGCTTAGGTATCCCGTCTCATTAACGCTACCGAAAAGGAAAATAACCTCCTCCTAACATGAAAAACCATGGATCCTTTTCTAATTCTTATATTTGTGAAATTGAGTGCTGGTCATAAAAAGGGCGTACAGTAGTTACATATTTCTTTCATCTCAAGTTTGCAGTGATGACTGACTGACGATTAATGTATGCATATGTTGGACTGTTTGTTAATGGTTACTTGCTTGTGTATGTATGTATTCCTTTTGTGCATGCAGTGCTGCTGTCAATGCGCAGACTCGCGAGGAGGTGGCCATCAAGAAGATCGGCAACGCGTTCGACAATCAGATCGACGCAAAGCGCACTCTCCGAGAGATTAAGTTGCTTAGGCACATGAAGCATGAAAATGTGAGTCATCCTTAATTTCTCTCTACCTTGTGATGAGCCGCGTGACGATCTCTGTGGTCGTGATCTTCAGATAAAGATACTCCATATATACTAATTATTTTTTGTCAATGTATGTATTTGACTATATATATATGGCTAATAACTCCGTAGCTCATTAGCTCATTGCAAAGGTAAGCCGTACGTCCAGAGGAGATCTGCCAAAATTTCTGGTGATTCTCTCTCGATGCAAAACCATTCTCCTTAATTCGTCTAGGCAGGAATTCTTTTCGATCGTTGCGAATGTTAGCTATAAAACAACTATCTTTGTAGCTAGATGATATATCCCTTTTCCTATGGATATTCATCAATTTGATATAGTTCTTCTCATGACACTCGTTCGGTTTTGATGCATCATCAGCCAATAGACTTAAACCACTTCTGTGTTGGTCCCGAGATCTCCCGCACGGATAAGCCGACCGCTTACCGTCGTTGCCGACCACACACACTACGGCTGGAGGTAGAAGAGGGACAGAGAATAGAGCGTGCACACACAGCACAAGCACCAGCGTTGGCCGGAGCTCTGCAGAGGAGATGACAAAACTGAACTCACTTTATTTACTGAGTTGTACTGGGAAACTACATATACAACTCTACCCATCTAATCCTAGGACACAGACATGCCAGGCTGCCATGCTGCTACAGTGACTAGATGTGACAGCAGGGCTGACTTTAACGCATGCCCCTGCTGTGGCTACAGTGCGGCAGGGGAGCCTTTCGGCGCCTGCCCCTGCCACGGCTACAGTGCAGCAGCAGGAAGCCCTTTCGGCGCCTGTCCCTGCCGCGCGTTCAAAAACGAGAGAGCAGCAGATTACTTTACAATTCTTCCCCTAATCCTGTTGCTAACCCTAGAACCTCCACCATGCCGATCATCTTCTTTAGCTCCATGAACCGAAGACGGCCGAGCGGCTTGGTGAGGACTTCCGCGAGTTGCCGACCAGTTTCGACGAACTCGATGACGATCTGCCTTCCATTGACACAGTCCCTGAGGAAGTGAAACTTGATGTCGATGTGCTTGCTCCGGTCGTGGAGAACAGGATTCTTCGCGAGGGCGATGGCGGGCTGGTTATCCAGCATCAGTGCTGGTGGGTGAGCTTCCACACCGGTCAGCTCATCCAGCAGCCGGCACAGCCACACAGCTTGGCACGCCGCTGTGGCCGTCGCCACGTACTCTGCCTCGCACGTGGACAGTGCCACCAACTTCTGTTTTAGCGATAGCCATAAGATTGGAGCCGACCCGAGGAAGACGAGCACGCCAGAGGTGCTCCGCCATCCGTCGATGTCCCCCGCCATGTCTGCATCGCTGAACACAGTGAGCTGTAGTCCACTTCCGCCGGTCTTGCGGAATACGATCCCCTGATCCATCATCCCCTTGACGTAGCGCAGCAGCCGCTTCACCGCGGCCCAGTGATCCTCTTAGGGATCCTCCATAAAGCGGCTGACGTAGCCCACGGCGAACGCAATATCCAGCCTCATGTGGACTAGGTAGCATAGACCGCCGACGATGGTCCGCTAGAGTGTTGCATCTACCCTCGCCGCGGTACTAGCCTTCGTCAGCTTTAGTCGCTCCTCCATTGGAGTCACGCATGGCTTGCACTCAGCCATGCCGCTCCGCTCCAACAGCTTCGAGGCGTACGAGCTCTGACCGAGCATGAGTGCCTCATTCCCCTATCTCACCTCGATGCCGAGGTAGTAGGAGAGCGCACTGAGATCGCTCATTCGAAAACGAGCCGCCATCTCACGCATGAAGCTATCGATGTCCTCCGCACGCACGCCGGTGACGATCAAGTCATCCACATACATGCCACCGACGAGCTCCTCCTTCCCCGTCGCAGCGTGTAGAGCGCGTGCTCGGTTGCGCACCGCGTGAACCCAAGCTCGCCCAACATGACGTCAAGCTTAGCGTTCCACGCTCGTGGAGCTTGCACAGTCGGAGCACTCTGTGCTCCGCTCTCTTGACAGCGAAACCCAGAGGTTACTTGACGAAGACCATCTCCGCCAGCTCGCCGTTGAGGAAGACCGATTTTACATCTAGGTGATGGACGTGCCAGTCCTTCGCTGCTACCAAAGCCAGTAGCAGTCGAATAGACTCCATGCGTGCTACCGGCATAAATACTTCCTCGAAGTCGATGCCCTCGCGCTGGACAATGCCTCGGGTGACGAGGCGCGCCTTGTGCTTAACAATGGCGCCGCACTCGTCCCGTTTGACCTTGTGCACCCACTTCAAGCCAATCGGACAGCATCCTGTAGGTGGATCGACGAGCTCCTAAGTCTTGTTTTCCTCGATCGCCTTCATCTCCTCCAGCATCGTCCGTCGCCAATCTGTATCGTGCTCAGCCAGCACGAACGTGGGTGGTTCCTCTGCACTGACGAGAAGCAGCTCTAGGTCATTGAGCAGCCGACCCGCTAGGCCTGAGGACCCTATGCCGCTGACGATGTCGTCTAGCCTACAGAACCGCACCTCCTCACCATCGTGGACAGCATCCATGAACTCTGTGATGTCGCTTTGAGGTGAGGCAAACTCGATCGATGTTGATGGAGTCCCCTGTTCCACCGGAGTGGTCAGCACAGCACCTGGAGTGCTCGGCACCCTGGTTGTAGTGCTTGGCACCCCTCCGGTAGTGCTCGACACCCCTCCCGGAGTGCTCGGCACCAATCTTCTAGTGGTCGGCACCACTGCAAGACCTCTCGGCTCCGCTATAGGAGCGTTCGGCACCCGCCCTGGAGTGATCGGCACCACTGCAGGACCACTCGGCACCACTCCTGGAGTGCTCGGCACCCCTCCCAGAGTGCTCAGCACCGCCCCAGGAGTGCTCAGCTCTGTTGCTGGAGTGGTCGGCACCTCCTCTCCAGCGTCTCCACCACCATGGATGCCCAAGTGCTCGACGATGAAGGTGCTGGTGAAGCCGCCAGCTTCCCCCGTGCCCGGACTGTCCTAGTCCTAGGCCGCCTTCTCGTCGAACACGACGTCGTGCGAGACAACCACCTTGCCTCCACGTGGGTCGTAGAGCCGGTACGTCTTGGTACCTTCCTCGTAGCCCAGGAGCACCATCGGTGTGCTCCTGTCCTCCAGCTTGGTGACGACCGACTTCGTCTTCCTAACGTGGCCGATGTAGCTGAATGTCCAGAGGAAGGACACGCTCGGCTTGCGCCCATACCAAGCTTCGAACGGCGTCACACCCTTCAGGGCCTTTGTGGGTGCGCGGTTGAGGATGAACACCGCCGTGGTCACCATATCACCCCAGAACCTTGCTGGCATGCTCTTGGCCTTCATCATGGATCGAGCCATTCCGACCACTGTCTGGTTCCGCCGCTCCACCATGCCATTCTGCTGTGGCGAGTATGGCGCGGTGTGGTGTCGCACCACACCCTGATCCGCGCAGTACGCAGCGAACTCCACTGAAGTGAATTTGTCATCATGGTCAGTCCGCAGCACGCGCAGCTTCTTGCTGCTCTCTGCCTCCGCACGTGCCTTGAACTTCTTGATTGCCTCCGCCGCCTCATCCTTGCTCGTTAGGAGTTGCAGCCACATATAGCGACTGCAATCATCCACGATCTGAAGGAAATATCGCCGACCACCGTTTGTGGCTGGCGTGATTGGCCCTCAGAGATTACCGTGGATGAGCTCGAGAGTGTCCACCACGTGATACTTGGCTACCTTTGGGAATGGCAGCCTCCTCTGCTTTCTGGCCAGGCAGCTGTCACACAGCTCGCCTACGTGCTTGATGTGGGGCAGTCCTCGGACCATCTTCTCCAACCGACCGAGCACGTTGAAGCTGAGATGGCTGAACCGGGCATGCCACAGCCACAGCTCCTCAGTGTGCCGTGCTGCTAGGCACACCGGCTGCTCCACCTTCAAGTCGAGCAGGTACAACCGATTCTGGTACCTCTTCACCTTAGCAAGAAGGCGCTGCTCCCGGTCCCTGATCCTGAGGACGCCGTCCTTGATCGGTACCTCGTCGCCGAGCTCATCCAGCTGGTCAATGCTGATGATGCTTGAACGCAGTTGCGGGATGTAATATACATCTGTCAGCGCGCGGTGCTCGCTGTTCTGGCACCTGAAGATGATGGTGCCACGCCCTCGGATTGCCACCCTTGAGCCGTCACCGAACTTCACCGTGCCAGTCACGTTGCCGTCGAGCTCAGAGAATGCTTCCTTGGACCCGTCATGTGATTGCTGGCGCCAGAATCCAGGTACCACCACTGCTCCTGCTCGCCACCCACACGTCCGAGGTGGACTTGGGCGCGCGGTTCATTAAGGTTGACAGCCTTCAGAGCCTTGTCGTGCCCTTCCACCGTCATCACCTCTCCCTTCTCCTTGGCCTCAATGTCGTGTAGTGCACAGAACATCGCCATCAGGAGAGTGGCATCATCATCCTCATCAGCCTGCGTTAAATGAGCCCCAGTCTTCTTCTCCTGCTTGCGATTTGGACACGTCTTTGCCCAATGGCCCGTCTTCCCGCAGCGCCGGCAGGCATTGGGGTCGACCTTCTTGTTCTTCTTCTCCGAAGAAGCCTTGCCGCGGCGCTTGCCATCGCCACCGCGGTTGGAGGTGGCTTCCCCGGACTTCTTCTCCTTCATACGGGCAGCTCACTCCTCCTCTGTCAGCAGCAGCTTGCTGTTGTTCATCGTTGCTGTGGCCTGCTCCATGCGCTTGTCCACCGCCCGCAGACGGCCTGTCACATCCTCAATAATGAGGGTGGACAAGTCCAGCATCGTCTCTATGAAGAGAGTGATCTGGATGTACTTCACCGGCACGGAGTGGAGGTACTTGGAGACCGCCTCTTCTTCGTCGATGGTGACGTCGTGGCTCCTCAGCTTGCTGATGAGCGACTGCAGGCGGAGGAAGAAGTCCTCCACCGACGCACCATCCTTGAACTTGAGATTAGTGTACTCCTGCTCAGCAGCTGGGCCGTTGCCTTCTTTGTGTGGTCGGAGCTGATGCGCATCGCTACAATGGCCTCCCACGCCTCCTTAGCAGAGTTCTTCTCCCCCAACGGCTCCCGGTACTCCACTGGCACAGCAGCGAGGATAGCCTCCAACGCTAACATGTCATCTTCTTCGTTGTCAGTGCCCTTGTCAATGGCATTCCAGAGCCGTCGGGCTCTAAGCATGACCTTCATGGTCACCACCCACTCGCGGACTCGCCATAGTTGGTGCGAGTCAGCGTCGGCCAACTGGTGCCGCTGACCTCCCGCACCGTGCGCACGATGACCTCCTGTCGTGGCTGGGCAGCTGTCGCCCATCTAAAAACCTTCCGTCATCGTCAGCGGTTAGTCCGATGACGGCGCTTGTACAACTTTGACACCACTTGTTGGTCCCGAGATCTCCCGCACGGGTGAGCCGACCATTCATCGTCGTTGCCGACCACACACTATGACTGGAGGTAGAAGAGGGAGGGAGAACAGAGCGCGCGCACACACAGCACAAGCACCAGCATTGGCCGGAGCTCTGCAGATGAGATGGCAAAACTGAACTCGCTCTCTTTACTGAGTTACAGTGGGAAGCTACATATATAACTCTACCCATCTAATCCTAGTATACAGATATGTCATGTTTGTCATCTTTGCTAAAGGATGACTAGATGTGACAAATGAGGTGACTTTGGCGTCCCGGTCCTGCGCCAGAAGATAGCAGATCTGCAGCGGGAGCCCTTTCAAAGGCTCGCCCGCCAAGTTCAGAAATAGGAGAGCACCAGATTACTTTACATTCTGATGATCGACTTGTAACAGCACATCCAGTGACGAAGCTAGAAAAAAATTTAGGAGGGGCTGAACAAAAGAATAGAGGTTTTTTATCTTCTCTTAACCTTAGTTCCTCCTACCTAATACATATATGCATAAAATTTTAAGAGGATGCTTAGAGGGGCTCCACGTGCCCAGGATCGGTTGGGGGTGGGGGCTGAAGCCCCCCTAGCGCCACCGCTGGCTTCGTCACTGAGCACATCTACCCCTTTTTCTGCAGGTTATTTCAATAAAGGACATCATACGCCCACCTAGGAGGGAGAACTTCAACGATGTTTATATTGTTTACGAGTTGATGGACACTGATCTTCACCGCCTTCTACGATCAAACCAGCCACTAACTGATGATCATTGTCAGGTACAATGTTGTGTCGTCTGTCTGTTTTCTGTTTCCACGTTTTACATCAGAATATCACATCCTGTCTGTTTTTTACTTCAGAATCTTGCATCCTGTGTGTGTATGTAAGCTGAATCTGGGGATCTGACTGTTAGTTTTCCCTGTTGCAGTATTTCGTCTACCAGCTGCTCCGAGGACTCAAGTATGTACACTCGGCAAACGTCTTGCACAGAGACCTCAGGCCGAGCAATCTGCTGCTGAATGCCAAATGTGACCTGAAGATTGGGGACTTTGGGCTGGCAAGGACCACAACTGAAACTGACTTCATGATGGAGTACGTCGTTACACGGTTGTACAGAGCGCCTGAGCTCCTGCTCAACTGCTCAGAATATACTCAGGCTATTGATATGTGGTCGGTAGGCTGCATCTTCGGTGAAATGGTTACAAGAGAGCCTTTGTTTCCTGGAAAGGATTATGTTCATCAGCTTTTGCTAATAACTGAGGTAAGTTGCCAAGTTCACAGTCCAAGATTTTGTTTTCGTTCTCCCCTTTTTGGGTAACTTCCTGATCCATTTCGCTGAAGGGCAATTTAATTTCAGACTTGCATAATAATGTCTAGACAGGTGAAAATAAAAAGGGTCTTATAAACTGGTTTAAATGAAGTTTGGAATTTACTCATTTCACTTGTTTTCAAGAGCTAACATTTGGTCAAAGCATGAAGCATGTAATTATCTTGGTTTCTCAAGCTAACACCTGAATGGTAATGTCTCACAAGTCTTCTTTTTTCTTTTACTTATAACTTCTTCCTCTTCATTCTTTTATGATTTAAAAGCTGGTAGGCTCACCTGATGACACCAGCCTTGGGTTCCTCCGAAGTGATCACGCCCGCAGATACGTGAGGTCCTTCCTCAACACCCCAAGCAACAATTCCGTGTACGGTTCCCTACTATGTCTAGTGGTGCCATGGATTTGCTTGAGAGGATGCTCGTGTTTGATCCGAGCAAGAGGATTACTGGTAATCTTGCAGCCCTGCATGAACTTGCTGCATTGATATCATATAAAATGTGTGACATGCCTGTCTGGATGTGGTAGATTTTGTTGGGATATAGTTCAAAGTAGAGCTAAATCCTAGCTCAATCGCCCTCGTCCAGACAGGAAAGAATGAACCACCCATCGTCTGAAATTCTGCACTTTCAGTCTCATATGAACTATATGATATGACCCTGAAATGAATTGTTGAAGCTGAAGATTATATTCATGCAACTACCATTCTTGCATTCTGAGGGGAAAAGGGGCAATCTCTTGAAATATACTAACCTTGTTGCTTTTCTTTTGGTGGAATTGCAGTTGATGAGGCTCTATGCCACCCATACTTGGCGTCCCTTCATGAGATAAACGACGAACCTGTGTGCCCAGTGCCTTTCAGCTTCGACTTCGAGCAGCCATCGCTCACCGAAGAAGATATCAAGGAGCTCATCTGGAGGGAGTCTCTCAAGTTCAACCCTGACCCAATCCACTAAATAGTTCCCTGTATAAACACGGGCAAACCAGGATGGCATGTATATCAGCTCCATGGGGGCGAAAGGCATGAGGTAACTGCAGCGAGATGAGTGTACAAGTAACCACCCCTCATCATCATCGTCGTCGTCATCGCATCTCGTGGCTTGTCAATGGCGACACCCTAATGTCGAAAACATTGGACATTTATGAAACAAGCTTGATCAATAATTTGTAGTGGAGAAAGCTGGCAGGTTATCTGCATCTTGTTAGGTTGTATCTATCTTCCTTCGGTTGTATGCTTAAGAAATGTAGGTAGGAGCTTGTCACTGCCTATGGACCATGGTATCGCAGTTGTCCACACACTACAGACAGCAGCTCACTGCGTCACCTTCCAGCCGTTCCTGTTATGTTCTAAAATCTTGATGAACATAGAACCACATGATATATATTGTGTGATTACTCACCTTACCCGAATTCGTTCCAGCAATTGGCACCGTTCCCTGAGTGTTACGCAAATATTCCTCATACAACATCACGTTCTTCAAACCAGGCGCATGATACAAGATTACACACCAAAGCTTTTTGAATAGCATCCACAACATACAGGCAGAAGTAGCAACGCATTTGTTTTAAGGGCACATGGCACCAAGCTTTAATAGACACATGAACAGAACAGAACAGAACAGAACAGAACAGAACAGAGCAGACAGTCATTGCATCAGAAATAGACGGGGCAAGCAGACACAGAACTGGAGATATGATGCGGACTCTTTTCCCAGCTGGAACAGCAAAAAAGGAAAAGAGAAAAGAGAAAGAGATAAAAGGCCCAGCTCACAGTAAAGACAATTCGACTTAATATAGTTCTGGACAGAAAATCATGATGTCTTCTCTAAAATGAAGGTGCGCTCTCGTTGTTTGTACACGCAACTTGGCGACCCAGATACAGTTTAAAAACATAAAAAAAAATTAGTATTTGCATCTTTCCAAAGATTGACTTGAAACTTCTGTACATATCGCTTCACAGGGGTCCTGTCACAGATACAAATTAAGAAATAGAAGACAAGCTCCGTCAAACAACAGAAAGGTCAATAAGCACTAGTGAGACAGTTGCATTGAAAAATCCTATACGAAATCCAAAATGGAAATAGAAGTATATGCAATATAGATCAGCCAGTACTAAAAAGAATGGAAATTGGAGTTATGTTGTTGACAGCCTGCCAACATTGGCTATGCCATAACTATCAGCAGACAATTAAACTGCTTAATAAGTTACTTAAGGACCTGCTAAGCGGTAATTAAAAAACATGAATGTTTACAAACATATCGGATGACTCTAAAAATTCCACAAGTATAAATAAAGCGAACAGTACTTTAAGAATCTAAAATTGTAATATTCTATAAACCATAAGAAATTAAAGAACTACACAGGATGCAACATGTATCACAAAAGACTGCATAATGCAGAGATTGCAAGAATCCTGTAGTGAACAACTGGTAACAGTCTCTTAAAGAGCATATGCACATCCTATGTAAAACAAAACAAGAAATTTGTGACTTACATCCGTTCACCTTACAGCTACAGCTACAATATTATTCCTTGCAACAGTCCAAGAGTTATGATGTAAACAGCACACATCAGACATGAAGCCCAAATGATTGCTGATGGCATTAGTGTACAAGATGTCAGACATACCACAATGCTGTCATTTGAGGGGAACCATATCTTAGCATCCATAAAACTCAGCCAAACCTAACAGCAGATGAAAACTATCAAGCATAAAAACTACTAGATGATACATTAGGAAATGGATTGTGGATAAAAGAATACCTGGCTGCCAGCAGAGAAAATGGTCCTTCAGGCTACATAAGGTGACACCAGTAACCTATGTAATATTTAAGTGTCAAAGCCTGCAAATGCAGCCACACAGCTATGGAAACAAAATGTAATCTCCTGCATGTCAGCTTAAGACTGAAGTATTTTTCTGTTACCACAGCTACTAAAATATTGTCAAGAATTAATAATACCAGACCAATATAGTCATCATATCATTTGCCACTTTGTGCTGGAATAAAATTGCAACGTCGGGAGAACAAAGAACCGTTTCATGATTACCCTTCTATCATCTCATATACTTCTGCATTATTTTAGGCAAAAAGGAATGTAAATAAAACAATTCATGCTGAAAATCAATATAATTCCAGACTTTATCAGGCGACCATGAATATAATTTCACTATCCTGGAACATGTGGACCAGCTACAATTTACTCCTCACCATGCTGCTCTAATTTTCACTGGATTTTCATGTGCATAAATATGTGACCTTCGATTAGCAGACCCTCAGGGCTGCCAGAAAAGAGGTGGCTAGCATAATATGACCTGTCCATCCTAATAATATAAACAAATTGTTGTACTTGCAGTCAATTGGGGAGAAGAGAAGTGGGGGAAAAGGTGCAAAATCGGGGGTCTATATATTATCAAAACAAACAGTTGAGAACTGCTCCGAGACTTTAAAGACAAAACTTCTTTACAACAAGGGAAAATTGGTTCTATAGCATTGAAAGATCGCGAAAATCGGAAAATACCACCGAAAAAACTCCGTTATGTAAAATACCATCGAAAAATAGAACTGTTACCTAAAAATAGCATTATGTCATGTATTGAGGTAACGGCGTCAGCACGTTGGATCTCTGTCCATCTAATAAAGGCAAAAAAAAATCCACTCCAACCTCCGCTCATCGAAGGCAAAAAATAAAGAATCTACTCAAAGTTCTGTCATCTCTCTCGCCTCCACGCACCAGGCTCCGGTGATCCGGTCCATTGCTGGATCGTAGACGGTGGTGGCTGATAGGGCGGATCACGACATGTCAAGGCAAGGGCGGCTCCGGCAATTCCCAATTTGGCGGCTTCCTCGCGAGCGACGGCGGAGGCGGTCTTCGGCACTCACAGTGCTTGGCACTGTGGCGACTTGTGCTCACGCGCTGCAGGCATGGCCTGCTTGCCGGTAGAAGCGGCGCTGCTCGCCAATTGCCGAGCGCACGGGATGGGAGAGGATGGAGATGGCTGCCAGTGCCCAGACGGCTTCTCCCGTTCACGGGCTTTCTGACCCTTCCCGAGCGGCAGCGGCGTCTGCCTTGGTGCCGGTGGCGCTCAGCTCCGGCCTCCGGCATGGCGTCGGCTTCGACACGCGTGGGTGCTCCGTGCTGACCACACTCGGCTCCGTGCGGGGAGCTCCGGGCAGCAGGGTGGCGGCGGGCAGGCTCTAGTGCCCGTGGCGCCGAGCTCCAGCGTCTGGCTGCTGCGGGCGGAGTCGCTGGCTGGTGCAGCGCAGCTCCGGCGACGGCGGCATTCGACGAACCGGGGCGAGCGCGGCTCCGGTGGTGTAGCGCGTCGGCGCTAGAGTGCTCGGCGACATCGTCAGAGTCAAGGACAAGCGCCGGTGAACCGTCCGAGCTCCCTGGGATGAGGCTCTACCACTACAGGCAGCCTACCCAGGTTGATGTGACGTACAGGTTGTTCTCCACGTCCTCCCATGGCGTTTTTAGTCAAGTGGAGTCCTCAAACAGATGCCACCAGATGGCGTTGACAGCAAAAGTAACTGAGTGCTAGATTGCGGGACGAATACTCACTTTCAATGGTATTTTACGATACGATGAACTTTCGATGGTATTTTCCGAATCTCGCATTCTTTCGGTGCTATGAAACTAATTTTCCCTTACAACAATGTGATACTTTCTATCATCACTACAGAGATCAAAGTCTTGAAGTCTGGTTACACTCAGCTTTGCTTCATGTACTCTGCCCTGAAGAAACTGGCCAAGCCCCGAGGTCCTCACGCTGTCAGCCATTTTCTTTCACTGCATGACCATGCACCATAAAACCACTTGTGCCTATTGCATGAAACCTTTTAAGGCTTCACATGTACTGATCAAATTCGTTGGTGCAAGATAATTATGATTTACCAGTTCATCACTCAGAATATTCTTCGCCACTATATTGGTCAATATCTTCTACTCGAGAACGCTTTGGATGCTCATCAAGATCATCATCAACATGAGATCTTCGTGGCTTTGAATTCACCTACAAGGAAGAAAACCTTGAGTTAAAGGGTACAGTTAATGCAAAAACAACTGTTTTCATTCCTTTTCATTTCATGCGTTATGGTAATGCATTCTATTTTTATCGGCATTGTAGGATTTTGTGGAGAGGCAAAAGTACATTTGCATAAAGTGCCCCATCTCATTCAATGCGTGTTACATTAAGAATCCATCCCTTTGTTCAGAGGTCACTATTTAACAATGAATAGTTTATTAGACAAATTTTAATGAGGAAGCAAGAGAGCAATATTCAATAGGGGTGTATGGTCGTCAGGTGTTTTTCTTAGCGGTGTGCTCTCGTGTAAAAACATGACAAAAAAAACAAATAGAAAGCATGAAATGTCCTAATATAGTGATCACAGAAAGAGAGTGATCGTAAAAGCAACAATGTCAATTAGTAGCAAGAAGTCAAGCAAGCAGACCTAACGTTTAGAGAGAAGATAGAATGCTTACATAAATACTTAGCTGGTTTAGTTTAATTTTTAACTAAAAGAGAGATTTTACAATGAATAATAAGGAAGACTGAACCATACATGCAAGCCGGAAGATTCTCCGCGCTCCATGGTACCACCATGAGCTGTTTTGCTCACAGTAATACGGGAAGGCACTGGAAAATGCTCAATTTCATCCCCAGACCTCCCCTCCTTTGCTTTCTTCTTCTGCAAAACTAGCTTAGTAGGAAGAGGCTGAAAAAAAAAATGGCATATGTTACATTAATGTGAAATGCATCATTCTCAGAAACCAAATGTAATACAGAATGCACAAAACCAATTACCAAATATTTTGCACCCTCCTCCTTATCAAATGTGACAAGGTATGTTGTAGGATCATCTTTATCATCTCCTCTTACCTGAATCATGAAACAAGTGTGTATGTACAATGGATGAGTATGATGCCACCAGCTCATAGACACAATTAGAGAATAATTAGGAAACTACACATACTTCCCAGTGATATTCTCTTAGCCAGGAATACTGGATATCATAGTCGTCATCCAAGTCTCTGGTAAGCTGATGAAATCACAATAGTCACCATCAGATTGATGTAATTGGTCACTTTTTTTAATAGAAATGTACCAGAGATGAATTCATACCTCATGAGGTGCTGGGGCCATGTATGCCAAAAACTTCTCTTGTTTTGTAGGGTCTGAACCACTGACACTAAAACTTTTCATCACAGCCTGCCATGAAAACATGAAATGGTTACAAATACAAGCAAAGGCATTATCTAGGTGTAATATCATTTGCAACGCATGGCCAGAAACAGTGGACATGGGTGCAAGTATCAGAGTCCAGTAGAGTGCAGGTGTCCTATTCAGCAAACTCTAGAAAAAAGGATTCAGGGATTCATCTAGTTTTTATTTTAATAAATTTAATCATAAATTAGAATCAATTTTATTTCTACAAACATTTACTGTCATGTCACGCTCCTGAGTCCTGGCTGATAAATATGCCATGGATGAATCCAGACATACATGATGCATCGCAGGTTTAAAAGGGAAAAAACTGAGAATAAATGAAGATATTCATTATGGGGCTGTCATTTCCTGGCCCACTAGCCCACCTCTAACCATGATTTGCGCTAAACCCTCATGCAGCCAACAGGTATCATATTTCTACACCCCCCCAAAAGAGAGAGAGAGAGAAACCCTGCGCTACTTCTCTCTTCTTCCGCAACAATGCTGGCGCCAGACTAAATTCCTCAGTGCCATCCTCACAATGAGGATTACCCAAATAGAATCAATACCCCTCATTCTCCTCGTGTGTCCAATGCTCTCAGTTTTGCCAGAGGAACTCAATGGATCTGACTGGCCCTGCACATAGCCCTGCCATGGCTACGGTTCTCTTTGCCTCCTGGACCAGGCGACTGGCTGCCTTCCCCTTCCCTTCTCTATCTTGCACTCTTCTCTCACTCCCTGGCCCTCCCCTATCTCTTTGAACCTTCAGTTTTGGCATTTGATGCTGCTCCGATGTGTCCAATATAACTATATAAGTCGTGTCTGGCAATACAAGACAGCGCGGCAAAAAAAAAATGTAACCCTGATCTAGAATTCACAAGATAGTGGCATGCATTGCCATTAAGTAAGAAAGCCTAAGGCAGAGGAAACTTGAGGAAACAGAACTCACCCGGGATTCACATTCATCACGTACAGATCTCTCAAGTTTGTTGTACTGCTCAGAATCAGCAGTTGGATCGCCATCAAAATTCACCATAATAAATGGCTCCTCGTACCTGTTTAGGTGAACAGAAAAGGTCAATAAGAGGAATAAATTAGAAACCTCCGATATTATGCTTCAAAAGGCAAACTTTTGTGCAGTTATACCCCTCAAAAAGTAATGGAGAAATAGGAGAAATTTCACAAATTACTGGTAAAGAAGAGAACTTTTCAACCATAAATCGAGAGCATTTTGTTTTATAGATATGGAAATGGACAGGCAAGAAGGCATAGCTCAGTAAAGTAACGGCAAACATCTGGTATCAAGGATGAATACTTGTAACACATAAAAGCAACATCTGAGAAGTAAATACCTATCAAAATCAGGTAGCAAAGGCATAACCCACTCAGCTTGCATCCCACGTTTAGTCTGGTGAACAGGCCTTGACTTGGCTGCTCTGAAGGATTCTTCAATGGCTTTGATCTGTTTCTCTCTGGTATACACATGAACAGGAACATGGTGTCAGTGACTGCACCAGGTTTTGCAAGTTGCAACACAAGATAACCTTTACAGACCAACAAGTGTGAATAAAAGAAGAACCAAACCTATCATTAAGATTGTCTAGGAAAGCATTGCGACCCTCCCTTGATTCCCGCCTTTCCTTTGCTTGCTTCTCAGTAAGGGACTGGAAAGCCAAGCAACTTTATTCAGTATATATCATTAAGTAATTATTGTGTAACTAAATTCACACAAAAATTAGTATGAATTACCATTTTGGCTGCATCAGTACTTAGTGGAGATATGTATTGTGTTTTGACCAGCCAAGAAACACCTTTGTCAGTGGGCCTCTCCCTTTTCCTTATACCTTCTTGTTTAATAGGGGTGAGGACCTCATCATCACGCAATAGCTCTTCATCTTCAGGAGCCATGCGCGGCTGAACATCTGGGGGGCTGGGACATGTTTGGTAGATGAGTTAAGGACACTAGATTAAATACTCAGACAGAGAAATCAAACTCATGAAGACATATGGTTCAGATCCTTACTTGTATACACTCATGTCAAGTAGGTCAAGAGGTATCCCAAGATCCTCAGGGACAATCATTTTAGGAATGTAGTTTTTCTCCAATGAAGTTATCCTGTATTTGGTATATCTGAAAAGACAGCAAAACATAGTAAGCATAGCTGCCTCCAAGATATAGAAGCTTTTAAAATGCCAAAGCCAAACACATTTGATAGCAACATAATGAGTCAAGACACATTAAGCTCCGCATACTGTCAGTAGCAGAAAAGGAGAGAAGAAGGCGATGGGAAAACTCTACAGTATTAAAGCAGAGTAGTGCAAAATTGCTTTAGTGCAAAACGAATGGAATTATGGCAGTTGAACAGGACGCCCAGTTATGATATATTTATGACTTTACGTAAGTTACAAAATACTCCCTCCGTTCCAAATTATAATTCGTTTGACTTTTTTGACTCCAAGTTTGACCGCTCGTCTTATTCAAAAAATATGTGCAAACATAGTCAAATTTAAGTCATTCTTGAAGAGCTTTTGTTAATAAAGCAAGCCACAACAAAAGAAGTGATATTTAGCACAAATTTTTTAATAAGACGAGTGGTCAAACTTGGGGTAAAAAAAGTCAAACGAACTATAATTTGGAACGGATTTAGTATCAATCTATTGAATCTCCTGCAAAGCAAGCTAATGATATCATATCTATGCATAAGTAGCAGGAAAAATGAAACCATGGGCCTGTTCATCTGCACTAGTTTGCAGCGCTGCGCCAAACAGGCCTGATTTGAAATTTTGGTTATGTGAAATGATCAGTCCTAACAGTACACTGAAATAACCTACGACAGTCTGATGCCCTACCCATGTTAGCCCAGTGAAACCAGGCCTGAGACTTGACATCAATCTAACCACAACCCCCACAGAAAATTAGATTAGGCATCAATGCAACAGGGATCAAATGTGTCCTTTACCCATAACATAATGTACAAAATTAGCACAAAATTATCTATGCAACAGCACAAGCAAGGCATAAATTCGAAGCCAGCAGAGAGCAAAAACAATGGATCCCTGTCATCATAGAAAAGATCTTCAAATAAAAAATAAAAATAAAAAAAAAAAACAGGAAAGCATAAGTAAGTTCAAATGATCTACAAGTAAAATGACCATTCTTAGTAGATGAGCAATACTGAAGTAGGGCCTGTACTGCTCCAAAGATGCCATCTTAGATAAAAAAACAAAGGGGGTGGGGAGTAGACAGCTAGTGATGCATACCGGTCCTTATCCTTATTCAGGGGCAGCCATTTCAGCTGAGCACTTGGATCAGGGAGTTCATTCCTAAATCTGTGTCAACCAAAAAGAAAAGGCAAAACAGGATCATTCAAGTGTATAATTACAAAATAGACATAGTCACCAAGGTCTAAATATTTGGTACAAATCAGTAACTGATTAATAAGGCTCCATAAAAACGGTACACATCCAGAAACTTATTTTAAATATACAGGCAACAGAAAATTGCCATTTCATAATAGCAGAGTAACGCTTTTCAAACCGTTCTAAGTTTTGATATGCCTGCCCTGTTACAAGAAAGGGGTCCCTTTATAGGTTCATAACAAAGAAATTGGTTGGTAGATCAACTCATGCACCTTTTAAGCACTATATTCTCAATAGCTCTCCAGAACTAAGCAGAAGTACTAATCTTTCTAAGCACATAGAGAAGCACAAAATTTAAAGAAGCTATAAAGCAAATTCAGAAAACAATGATCATTTCCATCGGACGCCCCTACATTTCAACAATAACGTAAAAAAATCTAGTAAGCAGCCTACGTCACTCACTAACTAAGGATAGCATATGTTGCCAAGTTTTACACTCCTAAGGCGTGCATGATCAATCAAAATGTTACCCAACCACAAGCTGGGAATTTAAATTTTGGCACGAACGCAACCTAAAAGGCCAAAACTTAGCTGGACTTACTTGTGCTTGCAGAGGAACGTTGTTGGCTTTTTTAGCCGGTTCTCAAACCTCTCAGCATTAGGCGCTGATGTCGGGCGAGACCCAGTTGCCACTGCCCGAGAACCAGTTGCCGCTGCCCGAGTGCCACCCGGAGGCTGGTGGTGGTGGTGGCGGCTCTGCGGCTGCTGCTGAGCAGCGCGCTGCTGCGTCTTCTGCAGAATGGCGGCCTGTGTCTGGCGCATCATCTGCTGCTGCTTGCGGTCCTCCACCCGCTGCTTTTCGAACTCGCGCTTCTTCCGTGCGCGACGCTCTTCCTCCGTCTCCGCTCGCGGCAGCGTTGCTTTAGGCTGCTGCTGCTGCTTTGGGGGCGGCGGGGGGCCTGGGCAGACGGTGGCTGGGCCGGAGGCGGAGGGGCGGGGCGGGGCCGCAGGGGTGGGGACGGAGGCGGGGTGGTGCCGAAGGGGAGGAGGAGGCGGGTTGCTGTTCCCGCCGTAGGGCGGTGGCGGCGGCTGGTAGTACATCTGCGGCGGGGGCGGGGGCTGCTGCTGAGGCCCGGGACCGAAATTGAACTGCGGTTGGTGAGGTGGTGGCGGGCCGGGTGGCAGCGGCGGCAGGGGCCCCGCGTGGTAAGGCGGCGCCGGCATCCTGCTGTACGGCGCCTGCTGCGGCGGCGGCGCGTACGGATTCATCTGCGGCGGGTAGCCACCCTGTGGTGGTGGCGGCGGCGGCGGATGCTGCTGCGGCGGCGCGTAAGGCCTGTACGACGCCATCGCGCGGTGGCTAGGGTTTCCCGGAACCCGAGCCCCGGCACACAGACCCCGCGCCCGCGGCCACTGCTCGCTCTCCCGTCTCCTCCGTCGCCGCCACCGCAGAAGCCTCTACCACTGCGCGTCCAAGGCCACCGGCACCTATTCTACCAGATGTCCAGATCTATGCGGCGGCGTGCGGGAGCGCGAGGTAGTCGGCGTCTCGGCGATTGGGCAAGGAGCACGACGAAGCAGGGGCGATGGGAATTTCACGAGAGCCTGTGATTTTGCCTGGCTTTTTTGTCCAGGTTTGAATGTCTTTGGCTGAATTTTGCCCGGATTTGGATATCAATTCAGATTTTGTAGCATTTTTTTGCAGCATTTATTTTTTTTGCATTAGTGTACTTTGGTGATTTGGGATGTAATAAAAGTTAGAGTTAAATGCACCGTAAGTCCATTAATTTTTTTTATGGTGTGTCATCCAGGTCCATCAACTTTCAAACTGTATTTTTAGGCTCATTAACGGTTGGTGGTGTGTCATCCAGGTCCATCAACTTTCAAACTGTATTTTTGGTCCTTAAACTTTTTAACTGTTTCGCCGTAGGTCCGTATCCCTTCGTTTAGCATATAAGTCTGACATGGCACGCCAAATAAGCAGCCACCATAGAGTGGGTGATGAGTTCATAGCTCCTCAAGATGTTCATGAAGACTTGTCTACAAATAATTCAGATGTAGCAGCCAGTAATTTGTTAATATCCTCTGATCTTAATTTTGGGACTATTATTTTTAAGAATAAATATATTGTGGACATGGAGAAATTTACAACTGCTGGACTGTCATCAAAGATATTTTATAGAGGTGTCTTATTATTGCGTGGAAAGGAGGAGAAAATGAAGCCAACAAAATACATCAGCACTAATTCTAAAGAGGTGAAGATTATCAATAGAATTTTCCCAACGTGATTAGCATCCCTGCCGTAGTATTTTATTATTTCCATGCATTAGTTTCCTATCCAGTTGTGATACACGATCTTTTATCTAGCATCTAGCTTTTAGTGCCTGCGTGCACCTGTGGACATGAATCAAATTGGTGGCTGTGTTTGGACGTACCATGCATGTTAGCTGAATCAAGGACTCAAGGTCAATCGGCCCTAGTTGGGCTGGTAGAGTCCAAGTTTTATTTGGGTCAGGTGGCCTGCGTGCCTATACCTATGGCCTTCGGCCTTGTACCGGGTAGATTAGACTGGATTTTATTGTGGAGTTTATTTCCCGTCGAACCGCCACTCGAGAAACTCTAGATGATGATCCCATCAGGTTCTTCGTATTGAAGATTATCTCCGGATGGTGATCGCATCCTGTACTCCACGGTGGCTGTTTTTTGGCATGTCATGTCAGATCTATTCGCTAAACAAAGAGAAATCAGTTAAAAAGTTTGGGGACCTAAAAATATAATTTAAAAATTGATGGACCTGAATGACATACCATCAAAAGTCAATGGACATAAAAATATAGTTTAAAAGTTGATGGACCTGGATGACATACCACCAAAAGTTAATGGATCAAAACATACAGTTTAAAAGTTGATGGACCTAGACACCACCAAAAGTTAATGTACCTACGGTGCATTTAACTCTAAAAGTTAATAGAAAAATGGCCTCTTTTATGTCATATAAAAGAGTGGTGATGACGGTTTGGGATGTGTTGCATGTGTGTGTGGTGGGTTTTAATTGAGTTGGTCTATCAAACAACCGGGTGTTGGCACACCCGGCCGCGGCGGCCACCCTCTTTCCCTCCCCCTCCTCCCACCGTCGCCATCGTCTCCAACTCCGGCGAGCTGCCATCTTCTCCAACTCCAGCGAGCCTCCCCCGCACCGACCTGGACCGGCCGTCCCAACCACCACTAGCTCCCCCTAAACCGCCCGACCACCATCCCCAGCATCTAGCCTACCTGCCTCCTCCAGGAGGCCCCGTCTATACCGCTGGAGTTGGAGAAAAGAGGGGGAGAGCTCGCCGGAACCCTAACTGGCAGATCTAGAGGAGGAGGAGGAGGAGGAGGAGAAGGCCTACCTCGGGGGATCCGCCATGGCCGGCGAGCTCACGAGCAGGTGGTGCTCGCCTGGAGGATGTCGTCGGGGCGCGGGTGGGGTTGTCGGGAGGAGGTCGCTGGGGAGGAGCTTGCCGACGCCAGGGAGAGAGAGAGGGAGACAGGGAGGAGTGTCGGGGAGAGAGATGGAAGGACGGGGTGGGGGAGGTGTCGGGCGCGGGCGCACACTACAGCGGCAAAAATCTCATGTTGAAGCTGGGTAAAACACTCAGTTGAGTGTTAGCTTTCTGTTTTAATTTTAACAAGAAAAAATGGCAAAGACGTAGTTTTGAGGGATTATATTCCTTGTGTCTTTTACACTTAGCTTTTGTTTCCCTTGTTCCTCCTTTTGAAGTGTCTTTTACACTTTTCATGCAGGCATTTTAATTTATTTTGGCCTTTTCATCATTAAGGAATTGAAGAAAAAAATTGTCATACTAAAAGTATAGCTCATATCTCCATATATTAGGTAACATAAGAGGATTAGATTTTTTGTAAATCAAATTTTGTTGCAATTTGGAACTGATGGTCCAAATCACTTCATCTTTTTACCCCTCCCTCATCCACCTCCTTCCATCTGCTTGTGGAGTTCGAGGTGAACTCAGACTTGATATGTATTAGACCTCAAACTTGGCTTGGCCATTCATATTTTGATCTTCTCCACCTCCATCTCTCTCTCTCTCTCTCTCTCAGACGAAAGATTTCATCCAATGGTACCTTACTAATCAAGGGATTTTCAAGGTGCATCAATGTATAAACATTTAGTAAACCAAATAGCACTAACTTTGAATGAGTCTCGTTAAAATCACCACATCAAATAGAAAAAAAAAGAAAAAAATAGCACTAACTTCATGTGGTTCTTATTCATAGAAAAAAATAGCGAGCTATAGCGGCCGGAGAGACTCAACGCTAAGCTATTTCTATTTGTGCCGCTATGCCAATTTTAACCGCTATTGTGTGCTATAGCCCCGCTAATTGCATAGCTTTAGCGTTAAAATAGCAGCGCTATTTCAGATTTTGCCATCACTAATAGATTTTGAGAATTTAATTTGTTATTCCCTACTTATCATTTGCTACTAATTTGGTATTTTAGATAATTAAACACTAGACTTTTATGAACCATGTTGTAATGTCATATTAATAATGTTACCTAGACTTGTATTTCATATTTACCATGTTTTTTTCATTAATTATTGGTGTTTTTCATGTTTTTTTATAAAAACGTTATATGTCATAGCCGCTATAGCCTCGTAGCTGTTGAAAAAAGTTGCCGCTATTTTCAATAGCCGGCTATTTAAAACTATGTTCTTATTTGAGGAGGTAATTGTCACATGTTGCAAAATTTATTTGAAGAGCCCTTCAAGTTGTATCTGGTTTACAGCCGCCAAGTAATATGACAATTATTATTAAGGGTTTTGGCTTCACCAATTAGACTAAAAAATTCGATCTCAAACATGTGAGAGCATTTGCAATTTTTGGTCTGTTAGGTTAAGTAGAAACGGTGTATTATTTGACCGAAACAATTCTTATTTGCAAGTTATTCTTAAGGCCACAGACTCACTTCTAGACCATCCTCCAAAAGGAATGTGACAGACCAAGTTTGAAATAGACATGTTGTATGTTGGAGTTGGAGACCGCGGCGGCGGAGAGCTTCGCTAGGAATGGATGTTTGCCGAGCGTCTAATAGGCTTAGCAATAAGTTGCCGTGCCTTTCTTCCAAATAAGTTTTGAGAGATTGTTTTAAATAGACGGAGGCTAGATCTGGTAGTAACAAATGGCTGTAAAGGTTGTAAACAATAATTATATTTATCATGAAATTTTTCTCTTTTTCGAAGACATTTCTCAACATAATAATAAATCAGTCTTCTTCTTCTTTTTCTTTGAATTTTTCAATGTCCCTCCACTCAACTGATTTCAGTATCTCGCATATTCTTCCACAAGCAATGTCTATGTTGTGCCTGAGCTTGAGCCTTGTTCGGCTGGTCTATAAGCCGTTTGTGCTGATTTGTACGACTAATTTGTTGGGAGAGAAAAATACTATACTATTCATGATAAGCTGGTTTATATGAGCAGCCGATCATGGCTGAGTCTATTGTGTGGTAGCTAGCTAGTGGGGCAGCGGAGCGCAGTTCAAGATGAAGAGCAAACCCCTGTAGCTGCTGCTGCTGCTGGGTTGAATTCGCTGGTTTCAGCAAAAGCTCAAGCAAGTGGTCGCTGCGCATCATCCAGTTCTGAACATGCACTGATGGTATGAGGACTTGAGGAGGTACGTACTCCAGTTTTGAATTGCTGCCGGAAAAGAGAGGGCCAAAAGTCTAGATGGGCCTGTCACCCTGCTTCGTTTTCCGCTTGCAGTTGCAGGCAGAGGCAGGCCACTAGGCCAGTCCGAGAACACGCACATGCATTGTGCTACCGAAAGGGTGCGAACAAGGCTCTGTCCTACTGTGCAGTGCAGGTCTTCACTGCCTTTGGACTACAGTCTCTGACCACTCTATTGTTTGACTGCGATTTTATCATCATCGCGAGCGAGCCATTCTCCTTTTGTGAGTTTTCGTTGGTCGTATTTAGTTTACGTTCGTTTGGTCGTATTTAGTTTATAAGATATAGCTTATCAGTCAATGAATAGTATTTTTTTTTCACATCAAATCAGCCAATAGTACTTTCAGCCATGGCTTATAAGTCAAACCAGCCCAAACGAATTGAGCGATGCATGCCAATTGCCAAGCGAGACAAGAGTCGCGTTATTTGAACTACCAACCTCAAATAAAGCCTGTATTATTGCACGCTGAGCAAGCAAACCTGTAAATTTCCAAACAATAACCCCGAAACTAGAGAAAAAAAGTGTTTTTTTTCCGGTGCCAGAGTATATAGTGAGCAAAGTTTATATTAGAAGACAACCTCCACCTCCAATCGTGACATATGGAAAACTTCTGTTGCGCCCTAAAATGCAAGGCTTTACTTTTTATTAAAGTTAAACTTCTCTAGTTATAACTAATAAGTATTGTAGAAATATATTAATATCTGCAATACCAAATAATGCACTATCAAGAGAATATATCACGGTGGATTTGGTGAAACTAGTTTGATGTTTTGGATGTTGCTGATTTTTTCTGTAACCTTCGTAGAAGTTAGAGAAGTTTGACTAGGAACAAAATTTAAATGGCCCACATTTTTGCAACATAGGGAATAGTTTTTCCAATATTAAACCCTTTTACATCAGCTTCTATATATTTTATATTATTATTACTACTACTACATGGTACTGCTAACTAGGGTCCAAGCACACTATAGGCCGGGAACTCCATTGTTAACTACTCCTACCTTGCTTATACTACATCCTATAGAATTAGTGAATTATTACTAACAAGCAACAAGTACTATGGTAAACATCATGCCTACGTATACCCCCAGGCCAGGAGGCTAGTGGCGAGGTGACTACCTAGGCACTTGCACGTCGCGTTAAGCAAGGCTCATATCCTGATTGTCCCCCCTACACCGTAACACAGCTCTTGAGAGACCAGAGAGGCCCCTAATCACCGAACATGAGAGGGGCATATCCGTTGGGAACCCCAATTAGAGATACTGTTCGCTTGGAGGAATTCTGGAGGAATTTGGATGGTTTTGAGAAATGCTGGAGGAATTTGTTAGAGAAAAACATGGTTCCGGATGAAAAAAAAAGAAACGAATCAAACCAGATTTAAAGACACGCGAACGAACCCAAACCCATCACCCATGCATACATCATGCTACAGACACAACCAGCCAAATTGCAGTATGCTAATGACATCACACAACAGGGGAGCACAGCTCAAGCACATATGTACACACAGAGATTACTTTTTGTTGTTGGCAATTGGATAGTCATGCATGTGAGAGACAAATTATTTGTTCCATTCCAATAATATTGTCAAGTGGAGGCAGCTGCTATGTACATTGTACATCTCTCTTTGGTTCCCCTCACAAATTAAGCTAATAATAATATAAGAGGAACCATGGAAATAAAAGAAAAAGGAAAAAAAACTAATAATAATAATAAACAAAAGGGAGTGAGAGAGAGACCGAGAGAGTGATGGATCTATGCGTTCGTTCATTCACCAGGTCCAATGCAAGTAGGCATCCCTGTCCTCCTCATAATTAGTGCCTCACCTACCAATAATACTACACCACCTCACGCTCACTGACACCTCCTCTCTTCTCTCTCCTCCTCCGTTTCATTGCTTCCAAGAAACAAATTAAGCTCGGATGGATCCATGGACGATGGATGGACCACTGGATCGGGCCGGCCGGCCGTACGACGGGGCTCATCTCATCAGCTAGCAGGTACTGTAGGTAGGTGTAGCTAGTGCTTACTGACCTTGCTCTGCCTCCCAATCGGCCGCCGGCCCGGCCGTGTGCCTTCACTTGCTTGGTTGGTTTGAGCGGGCGCGGGTTCAGAAGGAGAAGGGGGAGGAGGCGAGCTCGCCGTCGCCGGCGCTGCTGGGGTCCGGGAGGAGGAGGGCGCGGCAGAGCGGGCAGGTGGCCTGGCCCTTGTCGACCCACTTGTCGATGCAGGCCTTGTGGAAGGCGTGCGCGCAGTTGCCGAGCTCGCGGACGCGGTGCCGCGCCTCGAGCGCGCCCAGGCACACCGCACAGACGGCCGGGGCCGGGGACGGGGACGCGGCGCGGCGGGACCTGAGGAGGTCGGCGTACCGGACGGCGGGGAGGCGGGCCTTGATGGCGGCCGGCGTGGGCGGCGCCACCAGATGGGGCGGCGCCGCCACGGCCGCCGCCTGCAGCAGCAGGGACGACGCCGACGACGACGGCTGCAGCGCCCAGAGGTCGGCCGGCGGCGGGGCCGCGTAGGCCGGGTGGTCGTCGGTGGCCGGCGGCGCCGCGAGGCCCAGCGACGAGAGGCAGAGCAGCACGGCGTGCCGGAGGAAGTCCAGCAGCTGCAGCACCAGGATCAGCGGCTGCGGCAGGATCACGCAGTAGCACACCGACGGGAACCCCATGGCCGGCCGGGCGACGTGCGCGCGCGCGTGCAGCTGCCTCTGCCTAGCTGCTTCCTTTCTTTTTTTCTTCTTTCTTTTTTTTCTAGACTACTAGAAGAGAGAGAAATGGTAGAAAGAGCTAGAGAGAGATAATGGGGGAGGAGGAAGAAGAGGGAGGCTGGTGTGGGGTCTATATATAAGAGAGAAGGGCCGAAACAAGGGTTTGTTTTGGGGCACCTATTATGTTTGGAGGAGGAGGGCCCTACCTAATAAGAGCAATGCTATGCGCACAAACAAGGCGTGTCACATGCGCGGAGCCACCACCGAGCAAGCAACAGTGGACCAGCGACGTGCACGGTTGAGAAAAAACTCACAGCCTTTTTTTTGTCTCGCCGTGACAGCGAACGTTGCACCCTAATGTAAGCAACTCCAATCATCGATACCGCTACGTGACAACACGTGCCTCGTGCTTGCTTGATGCTTGAGAGCGGAGCATGGGCCATCGATCCGGTTATCATCTCGACTCGGAAATCTGTCATGTTTTGTTGACTCTTGTGACAGCAGGCTGACGGCAATGCATGGTTGGGAAGTGAATTTTATAGGCTTTGTCTGGCCGTGACAGCAACCGTTTATTACTAGGACGACAAATTTCAATGATACACGACGCCTGTAATAGCACATATACCTCCTGCATAGTTGACACTATAAGGTGAGCGTGAGCCTAACTTCATCGTCGTCGTCATCATCATCGTTATCCTGTCTTGAAAGTCAAAATCGATTATTTTCCGGTTTGACTCTTAGGCTCACAAGAGATCTATTGTACGAGATAATCAGGTTAGTTTACACTAATTCGATCACTTATGATTTTTTTCCTTGTATCACTAAGATTTAAGAGCAAGCTAGGCTGCAGGGGAGAAGATATATTCCTCCGGGAGAGAACGTTGGGTGCATACAAGAACAAGACCATCATGTCCTGCAATATGTTTTCGTTTCCCTGAGGAATCTTGTTTGGTACGCGTAGCATTTGCGCGCTGTTTATATGGGTTGCACGTACACGCACACATGTGTTGTCGTGGGATTCTCGGCTTGACTGCTGCTGCCAACACACACGCTAGTTGGTGCGTGACGCCAGACCGGACTCCCCTTTATTTAATTAGCTGGTGGTGAGCGCCGGTCTGGTTGGCAGTTTGGCACTGCCTGCCTGCTTGCCCTGCGTCCTCCTCCACCCACCGTCGTCCATGTGTGCTCGTTTGGTTGGCAGGCGGCGGCCGGCTGCTCGCGTAGTCGCGTTGCGTTGCGTGACTGCGGCCCACCGACGGGGGGCAGCTCGCCGCCGCCGCCGCCGCCGCCGCCGCCGTCGCCGTCCGTGCTCTCCTCCGTTCGATGATGATGCGTAGTAAGAGAACCTTGTCCTTTCGGCACGCACTGCACGCACGGTGTTGGGTTTGGGACTGGTTTAGTTGGCGAATTTTTTTGGAAAATAATAATGTAACATTTTTGTTGTTATTTTACAATTAATGTCTAATTATAGTCTAATTAGGCTTAAAAGATTCGTCTCGTGAATTTCATCTAAACTATGTAATTAGTTTTATTTTTTATTTATATTTAATACTTCAAGCGTCAAAGATTTGATGTGACGAAAAATTTTAAAAAAATTTACAAAATTTTAGGATCTAGGCATGAGCAAAGAACGGCGCCTGCTGAGGTGCGTGCATGCATGGCAGACGATGGACATGGGTGATGGGCGCATGCATGCACGCACGGTGTTGGGTGATGACTGATGAGATGGGTGGACGCTGGGCAGGGCAGGGCAAGGCATGTGTGCGGTAGGGCCGCCACGGCCTCACGCTCATGCATGCTCACATCAGGAAAGAAACCAAGGCATGTGCAGCACGTACGAGACGCGGGGGCTGCCTGCGTGCCGTGGTGCCGCACAGATTGGTGGTGGGTGGTGGCCTGGCAGTAGTAGTGGGGGAGGAGGAAAAAAGAGACGAGACGTGTTATTACCATTCACAGCCTTATCGTTTGGCTGTGACGTGTCGTAAACTATCGTAAATTTTTAGTTAGAACAGTATTTTTCTCTCACATAAATTAGCTAGCAGTATTTCTTTATGAACCAGCAACGAAACGAACCAGCCAACCGAACATGCTCAAGTCTCCGGTGGCAATGTTGTGTCCGTTTCAGAATCATTACTAGTACTAGATACACGACTTTTTCGATTGCCACTGACTAGTTCGAAATTGTCGAACCATTGTTTCTTCTCAGTAAAATTATGCATACCATTATTATTACACATTTCCTATCGTGACGGTGCCTGAACCAAAGATAAACTAGCAACAAGGGTGGAGGTGCCCGGTCGTAAGGATGAGGATGAGTAGTGATCGTTGGATTTAGATTAGATGGATGAAGTTCGTCACCTGAAAAAGAAAGAAAAAATCAGCCACCTGTAATTTAGCGACTCTCTTATTATTAACTCGCTTATATCGCCTAACGATTGTAACATAAGACCAATTAATACAGGCAAAATTCTAGGATATGACTGCATAGAGGCGAGATGCTCTTATCTGGGTCATGCAGTTTATTCCAAATTATAACAAGTTTTTTTTTTGCTTTTTAGATACATTACTTTTGTTATGTATATGGACATAGTGTACATCTAACTACGTAGCAAAAATTATGTATCTAAGACAATACATCTTATAATTTGAAATGGAGAGGGTATCTCTGAGAGTAGAAAAAACAATTTACTTGCTTCTTTTATATAAGTTACTTTCGAGGGACATATTAAAGTAACCCTAAAGTCTCTTTATATCCTTTCTAATTGATATAAATAGAGATTTTGTTGGAAAAAATCCTCCAACAATTTTTTGAATGATGTCTCCAAACATATTCATCCTCTATTCTGAGCGGGTTTGGCTATCTAGAGTGCGCACAAGATATAGAGAAGTTGTTGGAGGGGTGGAAAGATATGGAGAATGGTTTTTGTTCAAATGACTCGCCAAATGATGATTTAGAAAGTAAGTCTAAGAAAGACTCTTGGAGATGCTTGTGTGCGTGGTTCTGGACGTTGTTGCACTGTCATTATGACACAAGGGAGATCATATACTAAGGTAAATAGATGTTTAAATGTCATAGCTTTAGACATTTTCGCCGAGAATGAATGGAAATGTAGTAAATAAACTCTGCTAATGATTATTTGCCCTTGTCTGGAGAATGAGCTTTCAACTCGATGGTAGGGAGATGAAGCGCTCAGCCCACTGACCCGGGTTAGAACCAGGCACCTCACCGAGACTTTGATCGTTCCCAGAGGGAAGCAAGGTGGTGTGTGTATGTGAGTGCGCATATAATTGAGCATGTGTCCCTCCGTAGGTGTGTTTCAAACTTCGGGTATCCCATGCCTAGCCAATTAGGGCTTTCTATTGTACTCTCTCCATATAAAAAATGAAGTCGTTTTGGACAGCGACACGATCTCCAAAGCATAACTTTGACTACTTATTTTTATAAATATATTTATCAAAAAATGATATATGTAATTTTTTGTGAAAGTATTTTTCAAGACAAATCTATACATATGGTTTTCACATTTCTAAACTCAATAACTTAAAAGTTATTCATGATTTATATTCTCAATGTTTGACCCAAGCCTTGTCTAAAATGACTTTATTTTTAAGTATGGAGGGAGTAAACTCTATCTTCGAAATATATAAGGAGCGTACGATAAACCGATGGGCAATTAGGTCGGATCCATAGCCATTCACCCACAAACAGCAGCACCTCACGGCGCACGGTGCATAGCAACGAAGCTCTGTACCCCCTCCTCATCTGCTATATGTGCTATTAGGCCAGGCTAAAAACACAGACAACATGTTTTTTCATTTTTTTTAAAAGGATGTGCGTGCACCGTATATACAACTCGCAGTGATGGAACCGCGGCATGGAAATGGAAGGTCGTCACAGTGTTCACACTTTGGTGCTACTGCCACCACCTCCACTGCACCCAGATAATTAGACTCAACGTGGATAGGTGGAACAAGGGGAATTAAGGTGCGTTTAAAAGAAAGATTAACGAGCGTGAGGCAGCTCAAATGCTCAACTGATTATACAGTAGTATGTTGAGGCATGCGTGCAGTACATTACATTGACACATGCATACTTTACTCGATATATATACTCACTGTAAATCCATTCCTACGGTTATCTTAAGTCAAACTCTTTTTAGTTTAATCAAATTTATATAAAAAGGAGTGTCAAATTTATGAAACTAAACTAGATACAAAAATATATATTTTTTTTATAGTGGGTTCATTTGGTGTCACAAACATCTATATTTTTTTTCTATAAATTTAATTTAACATGAAAAAAATAACTTAATAAGACATCTATAGAAACTATTTTTTTTACGAATAGAAACTAATCTATTCGGGACCGAGAGAGGAGAGTACATGAATACTAGTGCTAGCAGCGGTCGGTGGGGACCGGAGGGCTCGGCATTGTCCAACCACCCTCGTGCGATGAATTGGAAATTTTGAATTGGGTCCGAGATGATACAGTACACGATGAACAACCACCTGCCGGAGCCCGGAGTTGTAAATTTCTCTGGCCCTTAAACTAATGCATCACTCCTACTCCTGCGGCCCTACGACCATCAAGTGAAGGTTACACACATGACATGACACATGCATTTAGTTCCCTAAACAACTGTCGTTTTTGTTTTCTAAGAAACAATTTGAACTAAGGCCCCGTTTGGCACGGCTCCACTTCACCCATGAAGCCCTTTTTTGGGGCTTCAGCTCCATGAACAGCTCTATGGGTGGAGCTGTAGCCGTTTTGATAAATCGTTTGGCAAAACAGCTTCACATATAGTTTTTCTTAAAATATGCTCTCAGAGAACGCCATGTAGAATGAGGTGAAGCCGAGAGAAGCCACTATTTTTGGCTCCTTCCCACCCCAAAGCTCTGTGAGAGCACGTTTTTAGGGGCTTCATCGGTGGAGCCGTTTTATTTTACCCCGTTTGGCAGAA